ATTTATGTATTTTTATTGTAGGGGCTTAGGGTTTAGGGGTTTAGGGGTTTGGGGTTCTTTTCCCTCCCACTTAGCAAGGACGAGCCTGCATTGCAGTCTTAGTTCAGAACTGCTGTTGACGGTGCACAGTTAGACCAATCAGCCTTGAGGTTTAGGGTTTAGTGTAGATAGAAATATGTCGGCATGATCGGCAGAGCCAGTAGATCTTACTCGCATATCGGAATAACTGGCTAGCACTACCATTGCGAACCTCAGGTCTGGAAAAATGCATTTTGGATGATGCACCATGGAGCGCCATCCAGCAAAAGAACTGTTTGCTGGTCCAACGAGCATGAGATTGTGCGACAGCTAGATGAAGCCTTAATCGATCTGATTGAATGCAAGTGTATGGGTAGGCAGGGATGACCTGATTTGCTTGAGTGAAAGCTTAGGATCTCGGGATGCTGCCCCGGCACGAGGCCAAGCGACTGACCGGTCTCAAGACAGTTCGTGCAAGCCTTATCGGATGGGTAGTGCTTATAAATTAACTCAAAATATTTCACAGGGCATACTACCTTTTGTAAACTAAGGTAGAACACTCTGCAAGGAAACCGGCAGATCAAAGTTCCACGGAACTCGTGACTTAAAGAAAACACAGCCGCACCCCCAGCCTGATGTGTGCATGTTTTGAGTACGGTTTGCATTAGTGGGACCAAGGGCTTACCCGTTCGGATTCGGCCTGGCCTTGTCCCAGCTGGTCGACCTTTGTGGCCGCCACCCTCACTGCAACCTGCGCCAGAAAAAACACTTGGATAGTTGTCTTAGTGACCGAGAGATCTTCGAAGGCCTTGAGACTGGAGACTGCTGGGTCGATGCAGACCTACCGGGTACCTTTCTGTATCTATACGATGCTGCCAAAGATAGAGTCCCAGACTCTTGGTGTAACACGATGGCAACTTTCCGAGAAGAGATGCAGCGGTGGGTTGCATGATTGCATTCAATCCTGCAGTGGGTTGCTATATACATACACATATGATCGATACCTACTTGTCCAAGCCTGCCTCCCAGGTCTGCACCCCTTCTGATATCGAGATGATGGAGGACGCCATGAAGGAGACGACCATCTCCATTGCCGCTGCTTCTGGCGGAGCATGAAGGCTCTAGCTTTTGGCTAGCATAAATTAAAGGTGTTGCCCCTTGCAACACAAGCATGTGCATCTGGGGCACAGCACTTACTTGTTGGCTAGGTAGCTGCCGGCAGGATGATTCCCCATGTCAGGTTTGGTAGTGTGCTGCCACGGGTTTGATTTGCAAGCATACCTTCGCTGTAGAAAGTGTGGGCTTGTTTGTCGGGTCGGTGTTACTACAATGCTGTCTCGGAGGTTCATATGTATGGTTAGTACGTACTATCGAGTTATACGCTAGTATATATAATATAATTATATAGAGTACTTTATCAATATACATATATATATATATAGTATATATTGACTTACACTAAAAAAGCTAGAATACCCCCTATTACTATGTACCAATTGAACCCCCAAGTTCAGGGTGCCTTAGATTTGAAAGGCCAGGGTTCCGGGTCGAGGTTTTAGGGATCCCAAATGTCGCAAAACCACTGTAGGCTCCGACTATTGTTTTGGAGGCTGTGCCGGGGCTCGTAGATCAGGGCTCGCCTAGTCCAGGTTAAAGGCAGGCTTGGGGTCCGGACAGGCGGGGCTGATTTGGGGCCTGGGGTCTGTTGAATATATTTAGAAGGGTTGGGGGTGGCTTTTTGGGTCCTTAAACCAAAAGCATAGCCAAACAGCAAAACCAGCGCCCAAAACGCCCCGCAAAGGAGGCGCAAAAACCCGCAAGTCGCGCGCAAAAACCCGCAAACGCCCGCAAACCCGGAATTCAGGGTTTTTCGGTTTTTGCAGGGTTCGATAGTTTTAGCCTTTGGGAGCCTTGTGAAGGAAATTTCTGGAGTCCGGAAGCCTTGGGTCTCTACGCTGTGCCCCAAACCATGTTCTAGTGCTTTTCAATCCATGGAGATCGAGCATGGATGGCAAGATTGTGGCAGGCAGCCGAGGCATAGTGCCAGGGGGCCACAACCCACATTTCAATCGTGTTGGGTCATGTCTGCAGCAGGACTAGGACTCGCTGGTTGAAAGGTGCGTGTGCCTGTAATTGCCTATCGGACTTAACCGCAGCTGCTTCACTAGGCTTGCGAAACAAACTGCTGAAACTTAAGCCTGTTGTGCTGTCTCTCATTCTGTCTCTGTCTCTCTCTCTCTCTTTCTTTCTATCCGTCACTCACTCACTCACGCACTCTCTCCTTCTCTATCTCTCTCTCTCTCTTTCTTTCTTTCTTTCTTTCTTTCTTT